CCTTTACAGATTCATAAAGTATTACCTTTATAATCATAATTTATTTTCACATTATATAATCTGAGATATTTAAATCAAACATGATATGTTTTAATCTTGTCTCAAGATTTCACATAATGAAAGTAGCAACTGGAAGAATTTTTAAACTCATGAGTCACCTTTTTATTTTAAGATGTGTAAGACCTTGTACATGACTATGAAAAATGAAACTATACTCTTAAGGATACTAATTAAAAAGTAACTGCTTATACTGTATTTATCCCTTTGTGACTGAGATAGTTCACTCAGCATAATGCCTTCTAGACTCAACCATGCTGTTTAGCGTTTTATGAGTTCTTTAGTTTTCAGTGCTACTTAGTATTCTATTGTGTGAACTACCCTAATTTCTCTGTCCATTCAATTGTTTATGGCACCTGGGCTATTTGAATCTCTATGCTGTTGTGAATAATGTAATAATAGGATCAAGATGGGGGAGAGAAGAGGATAGATAGAAAATGAATATTGAACTGGGAGAGTGAAAGGAAGGATATGCTGAAAAGAATGCATGATTGGAAACCACATGTGTGAAAATAGTTTTCCAAGAGGATTGAGAGAGGGGAGGAATGTGTGCATGAGTTGGGCTAAAAAAAAAAAAATTTAAAGTAAGTGAAAATAATGTGCTCCAGTTCTTAAATTATCTGTACTTTTTTCCCCCCTTTAGCTCAAGAGTATGTAATAAGAATAAGTGGAAGTATACTTGATCTAAGAGATAATTTTGATGATGCTCTTCAAGTAAACACAACCGGTCTGTCACCAAAGGAAGCCAACTCCAAGGAAACCTTTGTATTTAGACCAGGCAATATCTCAGATGAAAACGCAACACATATATTCATTGCTATTAAAAGTGTAGATAAAAGCAATTTGACATCAAAAACATCCAACATTGCACAAGTAGCACTGTTTATTCCACAAGCAGACACAAGTCCTGATGATAATCCTCAGAATCCCGGTTCTGGTGGAAATCAGAGCACTGGAATCAACATTACTGCCTTGGTGTTGTCAGTGATTGGGGCTATTGTGGTTGTCTGTATTATTGTAGGTACCACGACATGCATTTTAAGTAGGAAAAAAAATTCCAGTGGATCTAGGACTGGGTTTTAAGAAAACCAACAAAAAATTAGAGACATTTATGAAATTTACAAATTATTAGCTTTAATCATAAATTTGCAAAAATAATAAATGATACTTTGTTTAAACAACCAGTAATATTTGAAAAACTGTAAGTCAATATTAAAGTTTCACTGTTTTATTTGTCATTTATAATGATGAATAAAGATACTTTTTTCATATTGATATCGAGTTATGTGTTCTTTGATAAAAAAGTTTTCTAGAATATGTCATATTTCATGAATGCATTAAAGTGGTCTATTTAGGTAATCATTTGTTGCTGTGTGCGGTCATGTCAAAGCTAATTCATATCTAAACCCTTCAGTGGGTTTTCAAAGGTGGTAAATTGCAGGAGGAGATTGCCCATCCTTTGCCCTATGGAACAGCAGTTTGGACCAAGTGGATGAGACTGCAGTGCAGCTTCTTATGACTAGACCACAAAAGCTACTCTAAATCTCTATCAGAGGAGACTATATTTCCCCTGTGAAGCAACTGATGGATTGAACCACTAGTCTTTCAGTTAGCAGCCCACCAGGTAACTCACTATACCACGAGACCTCCAGGACCAATGACTGGTCACTGACAAGGAGATATCCTTCTTTATTCCCTTTTCCAAGGAAGGTGACCCAACAGAATGTGGAAATTATAGATCAATATCACTACTATCTCAAGTAAAGAAAATATTCCTGAAACAATAATATATTGACAAGGAACAACCAGAAGTCAAAGTAAAGCATAGAAGTAGTCATGGCACCACAGATTGTGTTGTGGATGTCAGATGGATCCTGGATAAAAATAGAAAATAACAGAAGAATATTTATGTTCCACTGACTATGTAAAGGAATTTAACTATGGAGACCATAACAAAGTATAGCTAACACTGAAAACACTGGGAATCCCAGAACACTTAATTGTGCTCACATACCTAGACCAAGAAGTTGTTTGTCCAAGTGAAGCAAGGGAACACTTTATGTGCTAAAATGAAAAAAGATGTTCATCAGGGATGTGTCCTTTCTCTACACCTATTTAATCTGTTTGTTGAGCAAATAATATGTGAAGCTGGACTTCATGGAGAGAAACAACACCTTCACTATGCAGATGACACAATCTTGCCTCCTAAAAATGAGGAGGACTTGAAAGGCTTGTTACAGAAAATAAAAAATTACAACCCCCAATATGGATTTCATATCAACATCAAGAAAACAAAGATCCTCACTACAAGGCAAACAAATTATGGGATTGTAACTAATGTCACAAAACAAAATGTATATAAATTTTCAGTAGAAAACCCAATGTATTCTGTAAATTTAACCAAAACTCAATCAGAATTATAATGACAAAAGAAATAATATTGAGCCACTCACTCTGAATTGCGGCGAGGGGAGATCTTGACCCATATCCTCTTTGTTACAGAAATACCATGTTCTTGTTATGTGCCATCAAGTCGTTTGCGACTCATAGCGACCCTATGTACAAGAGCCCTAAATGCCGTTCTATCCTGTGCCAACCTTGCCGGCTCAAACACA